GTTAATACTTCCTATTAAGGTTAATCTATGTGTATATTGAATAAAATGCTAGTACTTACTATTAAGACTAATCTATATATATATATATATAGATCAAATAAGATGTTAATACTTCCTATTAAGGTTAATCTATGTGTATATTGAATAAAATGCTAGTACTTACTATTAAGACTAATCTATATATATATATATATAGATCAAATAAGATGTTAATACTTACTATTGAGGTTAATCTATGTGTATATTGAATAAAATGCTAGTACTTACTATTAAGTACTAATCTATATATATATATATATAGATCAAATAAGATGTTAATACTTACTATTGAGGTTAATCTATGTGTATATTGAATAAAATACTAGTACTTACTCTTGAAGATAATCTGTACACATTGAGTAAAATGCTTGTACTGACTACTGAGGCTATTTTTAGAGATGCATACCATTACTGTTGTAAAATAGGAATGTCAGCCTAAATAAACAGTTGAAACCTTAAGAGAAAAACTGGAGTGGTTTAATTTCTGCAGTAACTTTCCCACAATGAGAAATGTTGAAATCCACAATAAATAGATCATTTTCACTTACCCTGGATGATTTAAGATATGGCCAGTCAGTAACATATTCAAAATTCAATTTCTGCAACACCCACACTTGGTTTTGTTTAGTACCAAGATGCTATTTGTAAATGTTGTAGGTAAAAAAATTTGTTTTCTAGCTTTAGTTTACATTGTGGATATTGTTTAGCTATTAAACTTACCTCAAATTTGTTATGTTGTAGTTGCTGCTCCATTGTGTTCTGATTCTTGTAATACTTTCGTGTTACAATTGTGTCCTGATATGCCACAGTTCAGTATCAAGACATCATTTCATCTTATCACTTAAAGTACAAAACTTATCTGATATTTTTTTGTTATTTTGCCTATTTCCTTTTAATTTCTTTGTTGCAAAGGTGGATAGTATACTGACAGGGAACTCTTTGCATGTTCTTTCTAAGATACACATTCTTAGCTAGATGACTTTTGTTTCTACATCTTTCAGAGTAAACTATTATGGTTGTCCCAGCTTTTCAATGGGCTAACTACCAGTATGTTTTCTGATTGGATATTTTATTCAGTGTTATGAAAACATTTGAGTCTAGTTAACAGAAGTAAAAACTCTTAAATGACCATGATATTGATGGTTTTGTGACTTCATTTCACTCCCTATACTAAAATATTAATAATACCAAAAAAGTTGATTTTCCGATTATTAGACAAAATTCTAAATTCATTCATTTGTTCTTCATAGTATCATTATTATTCATATTATTCTTGTTTCACAAGCCTACAGAAATGTACAAGACATTTAAGCACTGTTATACTTGTCGGAAATGCTTTGTTTTATTAGAGCAAAGAATGTGTATATTTATAACAGTGTCTCCAGCTTTATTTTTGACTATAATCTTACAGGCCACTATAGAAAAAATGGTTAAGAATATTTTAGTGAATGCAGTACTAAATATTTCATAGAATAGTTTTAAAATTAATTTAAGCACCTTTGTTTTTTGCCTGAAGAACTTCTCTAAGTTCTTCATTTTCTAACATTGAAAAAATCCAGTGTTTTACTAATTTGCATTAATTGAAACATAATTTGTGCAACTTATAGTGCATTAATTGGAATCTGCTACATTGAAGATTCAACGTTTCTCGAGTTCACTGGACCCCACTGGCTTTTGAAACACAGTTTTCTAAGCTACTGTTCCAAATGGCTTGAGGATCAGTGACTTTATTGCTTTCAATCAGGATCCCAAATAACATATATGAGTCACATGGAAAACCTAAATAAAACTACCATCAATATTACAATTAATCCAATAAGATATTACTGGGAACACTATGTATTTTACACTGAAACTGACTGATTTCCCCCTATTTTTCAGTCCTTTAAACTGAATGTTCTAACTATCAAAAATATAAAGTTACTCAGTATGATGGAATATGTGGACTGCAGCACATGTGAACAATATAAAAACAAACTGTTAACTTGAGGGTTGATTTAAATAACAAACAGCCAACTCATGCCTCTTTGCAATGCCGAAGGTGTTAATGCACATAATGTATGTAGGCCTATATAAAAAGTATAATAGTTTTAATTGCTAATCACAAATAGACTTAATTTTGCAACTGTCAATTTCACAGCATTTTAAATATGCCTAGGCTTTGAACTACAAAAACGTCTATAATATTCTTTTCAATTTGGACTATTTCTTATTGACAAGAACAATTTAACTAGGATTAGTCAGAGTTACTAACATGTCATACTTTACCTAAAACTTGTATTTTAAGTAGCTATTATATTATTACACACAAAAATATTTGGGTTATTTGCCTAAATTCTGCCTTCTCCAATTAAAATTTCTTATCATTCAATTAAACATTGCCAAAAAACAGTACATTTTTTTTCAATATTAATGCTCAAAGTGAGATACTTGGAATAGCACTCTAACAACATTAGTCAAGATACTTTAACTGCTGACTTGTCTAGTTGTTTTTAAGCTTTTAGTAATATAGTTATTATAAAATCATGTACATATGTATGGGGGTTTGGCTGAACCCCCTATATTTGTGATGTACAAAAATACTGCCACCAAGTTCATGTTCATGTGAACATTTGGCATCTGCTCTCCGCTGGTTGAATAATTACCTGAGGTGAACACAAACCTATTTTTTACTAATTTTCTGGAGTGTATCCCCCAGACCCCCATTGCATTAGCATGCTTTGCATATGCTATTTGTTCTTTGCATAATATGTGTTGGTTTTTAATCTCACAAATTAGAACCCCCTTACAAACATTCAACATACAGGCCTGAAAATATGAAGTACTTTTTACTGAAAGCCAAAGAAATATTAAAGGGGACTCTTACATTGGTATTATAGATTTTAAGTTTGAACAAATGAGCAAAGATATACATGTATACCTTATATTTACAGTTGAAAATCTCAGTAACAAAATGAAATGACTGAAATGAGAAATAGCATAAATACATACAACTTACTTTTCTATAACGAAATGCCTACCTGGTCATTTTCAAAAAATAAGATATCTGGAACTTTAACTTTCCCAGAACCAGCCTGGTGTACTGGTGTTGAGGTATTGCCAATATAAACTATCCCATCCTTAACATAACATTCTGTAGCATTTTTCTGCAACTGCTCAGAGGATTTCTCTATTCCAGCATCTCTTAGTGATCTCTCTAATGCATTCTTTGCCAAAGGAGGTAAAAATCTAAAGTAATGTAAGAACCAATCTCTCTCATCCAGAAAACATGTATACTAAGAATTGTTTTATCATAACATTTGCTTTATCACTTGTGTAATTTTAAAGAAATTTGATTAAGGTCTTAAAACTTCATTTATAATAATAATTTAATATAATTAAAACTTCCTTGCTACAGCACTATAATTATGAATTTTGTTTTTCAAATACATTTTATTTAGCTATTATATATTAATAGTTGTTGTTAGCAATCAATTTGTGAATCTGAATTCAAAAGCATAACTGTATATGCTAATTACAGATAAGCTAAAGTTTGGGTTACAGAACAAGGAGAACAAAAACAGAACTAAAATAAGTTGAAAATATTCAAATTTTCACAATTTTATCATAAAAGCAATAATATATAAATTACATCCATTATCTGCAAATTATTTATATAATAATTATTTAAACCAAAAGTTAAATGGTGAAAGTTTGACTAACATTACCAGTAAAAAAACGTTTAGAATTATATTTTTTTTCAGGGTGAAATCTTTTTTGGTAATAAAAATTGGTCCTAATCTTAGATGTGTGTATCAACATGATTTGTGGATATTAATTTACCCAAATTAAGCTTACAATACTATTCTTAAATCTGCTGTTTTATCAGTCTTAACCCTCTTGTAATGGGAAGGTCAAAGTGAGCATGTGACAACCTTTTACAGTTACATACAAAGTTTAATTAAACTATTTTATTATCAATATATACAAATAAACTTGGTATCAAAATGTACTTAATAAATCAAATTTTAATATTATATACGTTTTAAGTTCTTAATATTTCAAGAAAATATTTTAAAAATCCTCGATCTCACCTAACATGAGAATTGTGACATTTGTTCTCTACGTTTCCCCTTTCTCTAAATTAGTTACCTCTCTGAAGTAAGGAATTTAACATAAATTACTCATATAAATATCAATAAGTCAAAGTCTAAATTTTATAGGCATCAATCTTATTTGTTTATGGAGTCGTAAACCAGAAATTCAGACCGACTTGCCACACCCACATATTACATCCTCTCTTTTACAAATTGCCAACAGTTCTCTTTGAAATTTTACGCTGTATCATTTATAATCAAAAGAAAGGCAAAGTTTTAATGTATCAAATGACATATAATGCTACATTGTTTTCAGCTCAGAATACTGTCAATTTTGTTCTCAATTTGAAAGTTTATCTCATGGTGTTCAGATCAAGCAACTAAGGGAATTAATTTAAGTCCCTCTTGTCTTAGTGAGAAAGTCGGTTAAATTATAGTAGTTATAGGACATTTTTTTGCTTTACACATATTATTATCCTGTGTTATGAGGTGCATTATTTAAGTTTATAGAATTATCTAGTGTACTAATACCATCATTATAAAAATGTAGTCTTAAATTTCATTCACAGAAAGGAAAAACAAGAGATCAAACTTAAATACTATATTTCTTGTTTTTCACATATATTTTTCATTTATTGTTGTTATAAAAGCAACTAAAATGTAAAAATTAGAAACATATTGCATTAATTTATGTAAGATAATGAAAACAATAAATAAATAAAAATTATTCACGAGAAATGCTTGCGAGCAGCCCATGCATTACATCATTCAATATGGTAACGTGAGATATGTATTAGCCAAGTGATTTACAACTTGTATGCTGGGAGTATTAGTTAGACACAGTTTTAAGAGCAATAAAACAGTAAAACTAAGTATAAATAGACGTAGACTATCATGAGTCTTAAGCTATTTAGAATAAACATTTGTAATTTTTCTGTTACAATCTGTGATCATTCTAGAAAGCAAAAAAGGGTAACTCAGATTTAGTTAGTATTTTTTATGATAGTTACAAGATCAGTCAAATTCAATGAGACCATATATAGTTAGGGTAGAAAAATTAACAGATAAAATATAAAGTTTTACTGAAAAAGAAAAACGTTTGATATTGAATTAGGAGGTTTCAGAGGTTATGAAACTTTTCAGATGAAGAAAGAATTTTCAATCTTAACATGAAAATTACTTTGTACTCAGAGCAGACAACACTCTGACTCCATATATTTATGGACAATTTTTTAGTTAAAATAATTTAAAAATTTGATTTTTTGTGTACAAAAGATTTGTAATGTTTATTGAATGCTAGCCATATTTCATGAAGATACACAAAACATGTTAAAAGTTATAGTACAGGAACACTGATACTTACTTTGTGGTTACAAAGTCAGTCACTTCAACCAACCCATATGGAAAGAGTTAACAGCTTTTATCAACAGTAATTATTTCAAATAACTTTTTATAACTATTCATTTAATTGCTTTAACTCTGCAACACTTTAATATTCTGAAGTGTTTCAAGGTTTTATGTTATCATTCTGGTATTGATTTTACATACAATGTGTAACTCTTTTAATACCATTGAAGTTAGTAGTTTCACTAAAGTAAACATGAAACTTTTTGAAATCTATTATTAGTACATGTGCACCACTTTCACCAATGAATGGTTCTTAAATTTTATTCAGTCCAAATACCTTGTCATACATGCTTTATCTATTGCCTCTCGACAGGATTGTTGAGGAAAATATCTGAACCTGCGAGCAATACGTAGTAACTGACGTGTTGACAAGGAAAGAGCCAAAGACTGAACCTAAAGCATGATAAAAACACTATCTAAATCTGAAATTAAGCACATAAAATCTCCAACATATTATAAGTTTTATTTAATTTTTGATATAGATTTCACAATTTAAAAAAACGTAATTTCCATATTTGCATTTATGACTTTAGTTCTTTCAAAATATTTCATATTTACAAAGATTTTTATATCATTTAATTAAATAAAACTTTAAAATAACTACTTTATATATCACATAAAATTATGTAGATAGCTAGAAGGTTTTAGTTTATAAAATGTTCATGAAAATCTCTTCAACACACAATTCATATTTACAGAGAAAATTGTTAAAATTTGAATAAAGTATTCACTTTGTTAACTTAAAACTTTAATTCTGCTTTTGAGAGTATAACTACAAAGAATAAATATTGTTAAACATACAGCTGTTAACAGAAAGGTTGTAAAAATAACATTAAAGACTAGAATTACAGAATGAGTTATTGTTTCATTGTAACAGATTTACCCACTCAATACAGACAGATCTAAGCGTGAATGTCATGACTTTTTAGAGAGTTAAGATCCAAAATGTAATTAAACTACTTTATTATCATTGTATTCAAATAAGTTTGGCATCAAAACATAATTAATAAATCAAATTTTAATATGAAATGTTTTAAGTTCATAATTTTATAAGAAAATGTTAAAATGTCCTCAACTGCCCATAGTATGAGAATTGTGACATTTGCTCTCTAGATCTTCCCTCTTCTCAAATTTATTTATCACCCTTCTAAGAAGTATGGAATTTAACATAAATTATTCATTATAATATAGATATTATTCAGACAAAGTACAATTTTCATAGCCTTCAATCTTATTTGTTTATGGAGCCATAAACTAGAAAATCAGACCCACTTGCCATGCCCATCTATCACATCCTCTGTCATAAATTGCTAATAGCTCTCTATGACATTTTATACTACACTATTTATAACCAAAAGAAAGCTAAAGTTTTATTTTATGATGTATTAAATTACATTGTTTTCTGTACAGAGAACTGTCTATTTCACTTCTAGTTCGAAAATTTTTCTCACAAGAATTACATTGACAAGCTTAGCTGAATTTTTGAAGGTTCTTATCACATAACTAGAAAGCCAGAAAAATTATGATAGTTATATGACGTTGTTTGCTTTGTGCATATTATTATACTGTGTTCTTAGGTGCATTATTTATTTTAATAAAAAATATTCAGTGTAGTAATACCATTAATGTAAAAAAGTAAGCTTAAGTTCCATCGACAGTTGACAGCAAAAATACAATAGATCCAGGTAAGTACAGTGTCTCTTCATGTGTATTCTTTATTTGTTATTACAAAAGAACTAATGTAAAAATTAGAAACTTATTAGGTTGGACAGTGAAAATAATAATAAATGCTTCATGAGGTATGCTTGTGAGCAGCTTATGCATTATTCAATTCAATATGGTGACATGAGCTGCATGTTCACAGAGTAATTTTCAATTTGTGTGGCAGAATTATTAGCTATGAGCTTTAAGTTATTTAGGATAAACAAATGTGATTTCCTGTTACAAGTTACAGATATTCTATAGCAAATATAGAGTAATTTAGATTTATTTCCAAATTCTTATGGTGGTTATGAGGTCAGTCAAATTGACCGGCCTTGTATAGAGTTAGAGTATAGAAAATAATATATTTTATCTGAAGTTTGTCTCAAAAAAAAATTCGTTTAATATTTATTTAGAAGGTTTTAGAGATTATGCAAAGGAAATTTGAAAATTTTCAGATTAAGAAAAGTTTTTTTAATTTTAACATGAAAATCATTTTTACTTGGAGCAGTCAACACTCTGACTCCATATATTCATGGACAAACTTTAAGTAAAAATACTTGCCTAAAAATTTTGATTTTTTTGTCCATCAAAGACTTGTAATGTTTACTAAAAGCTTGTAAAAAGATTGTGAAGATATGTAAAGCTTATTAAGTTATAGTATGGAAACTTAAACTTAAATTACAACACACATATATAATAACATAAACACTGAGATTAATAAACATACCTCTGAACTGATTTCATTCTACTTGCATCATTTACTGACATACTTTATTGAAGGATGCAGAAAAGTTTTAATAACTAAAGACATTTGAGAACTCAAAAATTCCAAAATAAAATTTACAAGATCCTTCTAAAAATTTAAATACTATACACAAACAAGAAAAACTCCCATAAAGACTAGATCATATATAGCTGGTCATTATTAAAGACTCAAATTTCATTTTTTAGTATTCCAGCTGTTTCTCAGATTTGCCTGAAGCTTCCCGTGTGCTTTGTTTTGCAGGAATGATACACCTCACATACACAAGCTAATAGAAAAATATCTTCCAAAATGTCTACAAGTTAAAAAAATCAATATTCCTTAAAATAAAATAAACAATCAATTTTATTTATTTTCTCTTGTATATTCAACACTTTGATTTTGCTCTTGCAATAAGATATGCTTTTGTGAAGAACTTAAGTAAAATTTCTTAATGAATTGGGAAAAAACAACATATTATGAATTGATAGTCACTGCTTTAAATAATAATTATTTACTTAACAAGTTTTCTTTTAAATAAGAATACTCAAAACAGATAGGTCCATAGGACCCACTTATCACATTTGTTAGGTTAAAACCTACCATAGGATCTTCTGAAGCTCGTAAATTTTCAACAAACTTCAAAATGTCATGCATATGCAATGAAGTTGCACCAACCTACATAAAGAAAAAATTACAGTGTCTTTAAAGATGTAATATTTCATATGTGTTTATTCATATTTTATACTAACAATAAAAGAAATTTGGTTCAGTTGCTAAATGTGCAATATCTATCACAACAAGTAGTAATAACCACTATCATGAAACAGTTTAGTAATGATAATGAAACAACTGGGACAGAAAAATAACCACAAAACATACAGCACTTCTTACATAAGTAATTAAAAATATGTGGCATTAATGAGAGTATATGTATAAGTAAACACAAAACATCTACATTAACCACAGAATTATGTAAAAAAAATCCTATAAAACACCTATAGATAATAATCACAGAATACATAGTGATAACCATAAAAAAATACTTAAAGTAAACAAATAGCATGTGCTAATCATCATGGGTGCTAAAAATGGTAAAAATGTCATGCATAAACCACAAAACATAAACAGAAATAGACAAAATACATCTGTCAATAACAAACATGTGCAAAAATTGCTTAACACTTAGCATTAATGATTCAAAAGAAAAGTAAAAAAAAACAATTACAAAATAACTGATGTTAATCATTAAAATACAAAGTATCAATATTAACAAAAATCAATGATATAATAAAACATTGGACAGCACTGCTCCTAGAACAGCCTCTGATTTTAATAATTTAAAATTCTCTAGATTGTGTTTCCCACCGACACAAAAGTGTTAATTTTTTTTCTGCCCACCCCTCAAAATTAACTCTTTGTCCCCTTTATGTTCCCCCTCAAAATAAAAAATTCTAGTAATGTCACTACTCTATTGAATACCAAAATTTCAATGACTTCTTTCTCCTCAGCCATAGTTAGTGCTCGCATCTGATGGAACAGGAACATAGTCAGACTCTCAGAATTCAGCCACTGTTCAAATGAGCCTCCTACTTTAGGAGGTTCAGCTAATGCCAAGATGCGGAAAGAGGGGTGAATCCTAAATATGTTCCTACATAAGGAAAGCATGAACATTTAAAACACTGTGATTTTTGCACAAATTGTTTAATTACTATTACAAAATTGTTAGAATCACTCATCATATTCCCTGAGCAGCAGGTGGTATGGCAGTATTATCCAATTTAGCATAATAATACAAATGCAGGCTAGATATGTTTCCAGTAAGCAAAGTTTAATTGCATATATGTAACATTACAGTATAAATTATCCTAGTAACTTTAACATTTATTAAATATCAAAAACTAAGCTCGCAGTTGAAGGAGGTTTTAAGGACATTTTAATTCTTTGCAGTCAAAATCATTTCTGAACTTTTGTAAAGTAGATACTGAAGAGGTCTTGCTATTAACACAAATGATCTTATGTAAAACTAACAACAAACACACAATCAGTGTTATAATACTTGCATTCTTATAAAATGTTTATGTTCAAATAACTTTGAAAACTAAGTATATTCACCTATCTGCCAAATTTTCATTGCTAAAACCATTTTCTTTCTTCAATTGATCAAAACGATCATGATGTAACAAACGTGTTCCATCATACAGCTGAACTTCTCTGTTCTGAGTCAAACTGCAATCAAGTCATGCACATGAAAAACATGAACCAGAAATATCAGTCAAACCAGAAATTTGTATAAAATAAATATGTATGGGTGTGTATGCAGAAGAATAAGAAATGTTTATAAAATAATATTGATTATATATTCTTATAAAATATCTATAAATATATTCCAGTAAAGAAAAATTGAACGTAAAAAAATATTACAGTCTCCTCTCAATACCTATCACAAAAGAGAAGAGTTTTAAGGGTACGGTTTTAGTACTTAAATACTATTATGTATCAAGTCTTATCTGAATGTGCACAGAGTGAGTCCATTGAACAGACCCCATGTTGGAGAAGTATTGTTAACTGTAATTCAAAATTTACAAAGTGCATCTTCACAAAATGTGTCAAACCTTTAGTCAACAGTACATGTTTGTTGTAAACCAAAAAATCAGATGTGTTACTAAAATGTTTGTACTAAAGATATGTCTGTGAAATGCTGAAGTCAATATGACTCAGACTCTGACAAGTCAGAGTGCTGATGTTCATGTGAAAAATAAAAACACTTTTGTCCAACATACAGTTTGCAAATTACACTTGCAAAACCTCTAGATTCTCCTAAATGTATGTTTAAAGTTTTTTCAGTATTCCTGTATATTTTATCAGATATTTTCTCTACTCTAACTCAAGCTTCTATAAATTAGCAATGTTGGATAACATGTAGTACATCATATGCATAATACCTTGTTGAATGACACTTTATACAAGTCTGGGGGTACGAACACTTTGTTAGTTAGTGCATATAGGGTTAATTATCATCGAGGTTTAGAACTAGTGTATGGGTTAAAGGTGACACACTGCCCTGCAATGTTAAAACCTATTGAAGTGTACACTAAGACCAGATGGGATTGAAACCAGTAACTTGCTTAAGGTGAAGATGCTTTTAATAGTCAATTATGCAACAGAATCCACTGAATGATACAAATCTCAGATCTCATTTCATTGGTTCATTTTATTGCTCAGTTTCAGTTTTACACCTTCACAAAAATAACTCACACCTGCCACTTACTGATCATAGTTAATAATGAATGTGATGTATGCAATAAAATTTTCTTCTACAGCCAGATTAAAAAATGTATAAATAGAATAAATATATCTAAGGTTAATATGTTACATGATTATACACTCTATTACATCATTTAACTGTGTAGTAAAAAGTCTGCAACTTTATGAGTGTACTTCTTTGTCCATCATAGGTATGAAATCATCTGAAAGTTTTGAACATGTTTTACATTAAGCCCTAAAAACCCATTTACATCCAAAGAAGTCAATTTAATATAATAATAATGTCCAGTAAACAAAATGTTGGGAGGATATGTAACTAATACAAGTTAGAGCTTTCAAGTACAAAATAATGCTTGAAAAATATACCTGTCGAGTTTATGATGTACAAAATTATATGGATTAAAAAACTTTTACAATCACTTGGAATTACTGATGTAAATTAACCCCTTTCAACTAGAAATCTCTCTTAACCATTGGTGTCTTGTATATAATTATTCTTTCATTTCAGTGCTTACAATTCCAATCATATCAAAAATTATATTATTAAATAGTTATGTTAAAATTTTTCTTGAGCTACAAATAAAAACTGCCCTGTATACAAGAAAAGCATAGTTAACAGATGCTATCTGTTGCCTATAGTCAATAAATGCAGGAATAGCACAGTATGCTCATGATAACACAAATAAAGACTATGTCCAGTGTAATCATTGATATGCAGAAAGAAGTGGGAGTTACAAGGCTAGTGGTAAGTGAAAAATTTGTACTGATAGAAGGCAGTATTAATTGAGAAAGCTTTTTGTGAGAGGAGGTAAGATATTTTATCAGAAGACATCAATTTTTTTAAATGATCTACGATAAAACAAGTATTATATATGATAATGCCATTTTCTTGTTTTCCTGCAAATATCAGAGCTGAGAAACTAAACATGTAAATTTGAAATTCAAAATTAAAGAAAATCGCTGGTTTATACTCTGATACAAATTAACTCATTTAGAACTCCTTTTCATACCTCTGTCTAAAATGAAACATTATAGTCTTTAAAGGAAACAAAAGTGAAACCTCTTTTTATGCTCAGTTTACCATACTTTTATTGTTCACAAAGTTTCTTTTACTTGTCTAAGTTGGTAATAAAATAAGTAACAAATTGAGATTTATTGCAGTTTCTAAATAAAATTTTTAAGATTTATTTTTATAGGGTCTTCATCATGTTAAAAGTTAAATAACAGACCAAAAAGAAGTTAAGAAAATAAGTATGTAATCACTGCATATATATCTTATTTTTTTATCTATTCTTGGAAGCAATTTAAACTGAAATCAAACATACAAAGTTAGTGATGGAAAGTTTTACAGTGAAATACCTATGCAAAGTTGAGAGAGTACTAGGATGAGCACGATGCAATCCATCTAAGACTACAAGTTTCCCTTTCAAAGCTGCCATCACTAACGGAGATGGGCGCCAGGAAGTGTCACCATTCTCTAGTGTTACTCGCTGCTGCAATAGGTCTCTTGCACTCATATCCTGATACACCATCATTAATTCCATCTGGTAGCCGAGTAACTTAGCAAAATAACCAGCTAAAGCACTTTTCCCACTTCCCTGGTTTAGAACCAAACCAAGGTTAACTGATTACGAATTGAATACATTTACAGGTTGTAACAAATTAAACACAATATTATTTGATAATAAAAATAATAATTATTTTAGCAAAAATAATATAGTTCGTTTTTACAAGACCAATAAGATAGGTAAGACTTTTACACACACACATATATATAAGTAATTTTGCATGTTTAATGTGAATCATGTTGTCAACAGAACAAAGATAATATTGAATCATTTACCTAATTTGCTGTTTTCAAATATTCGTAAGTCACAAAAAGAAGAGAAAGAACCAACAAACTAGAACTTGGTGTATTCAAAAAGAATGAAGTAAAAGAACAAATAAAGAAAATTATATTTTCATTTTCATGAATTATTCCTTTTAACTAAACTAAAATGGAATTAACAATGTGAATTAATCTATTCTATTTTTATTTGAATAAACTAATTATCTGGAAAAAACAAGCAAAAGCAATTTTTATTTCATCTATCAATATTTTTAATGCACTTTTGAGGATCATCTTCTTAAAATTTTGAACAACTTCTGTACTGAACATTCATTCAACAGTTTATCTTCTTTTTAGCCAACTAATATCTATATGCTAACAAATATAAATGAAAATACAAAGTGAGAACTAAGCCACACTGAAATAAGTTCAAAGGTTTCATTAAACAAATCCTTGGAAATAAAATGAAATAAATATCTGAAAGAAGACTTGATAATGTTAATAACATATATTAAATATTACTATGTTTTACCTCTACTCTGTTTATAAAAAGATTACAGAATAATCTGCTCACCTTTGGACCTATGATACATAAGTCTCGCACTAAATGGCACTGAAGCATCTCTGCTAAGAGGGATTTGTGATATGAAGTAGAGACAAATGGTTTCATGGTAGATAGATGAGTACGCTTTCCACCATCTACCTAGTATTATAAATGGAACAACAATCAACAGTATACTTTGTGGTCAGTTTAGACAAACTAGACAGCACTGACATTGAAACTCCTATGAAATGCATTCACCTTTAGTTTAGAAGATACCTCATTCAATGTGATAAAGGCCTTTCTAATAAAAACACCATCTGCCATCTAGACTCTAGACAAATGCAAGCCATAAAACACACAACCAAAATCACTAAAACTTTTAAAATATATTTCAATAATGAAGGCAAACTATACGATAATACTTGAAACAGTTAATGCACAAACAAGCTCATTACAATGTTAATCTAGTACATTTTAATCCAAGTGATGGTTTTTACAGTAAGGAAGAATATTTTTAAAAGCTGTAACTTATAATAAAATGTACATATAATCAGTAAGTAAACTCACAACGAAAATGTTAATCTATGTGTTTGATATAGTTCTTTGGCTGTGTCCAACCTAATTACAGTTTTAATCTAAGAATTTGATAGTTTACTATGTCCAAACTCATTACAACATTAATATAGGTATTTGACATAACTACTTAACTATGTCAAAGCTCATAATTATGTACAAGCTCACTAAAACATTACTCTAGGTATTTGATACTTAAATATGTCCAAGCTCATTACAATGTTAACCTAGGTATTTGATATTTAAATATGTTCAAGCATATTATAACATATATGACAGATATATTTATTTCTGTCCAAACTCATTTACAGCATTCACCTGGGTACTTAATATAGCTCATTAAATACAGTTACAAGCATACCATGTTTTGAGAGACTACTTATTTTTACCACTGTGGTGAGAAATGCTTTTTAAGAAGCATTTAAACATCTAAATAATCAGTTCAACACTTATATTTTTTGAACAGGCACAAATCTATCTTTAATGGTGTGTTAAAAAAGGTTTAATATCTGCACATCTCATTCATTTTCACTTGGCTTTGTACATCCTCAGCGAGGTTTGATTTCAAATAAAAAAATCTGCAAATGATTTACAAATGATCAAGAAGTAGCTGTACATGTGTTTACAAGAACCTGCAGACTAGAGTTGCTTCAAATCTCATGCATGACTTATAGTTCTATGAAAGTGAAATTTTGGGGGATAATTTCCCCCCATTTGCACAACATTTAGTAGCAAGAACATCCCAACAGGCCTCCACACATTTTTATTAATGATGTAAAAAACCAGACTGAAACCAAAAATGTTCCATTTTAATGAACTCTTGAAACCTTAACAAAATCAACACATCCCCCCTTTTTTTTTTTACAATTCTTAGTCATAGTTTGCCTTTATGGAAACTTATTACCAATGTTATAAATATTAAATAAAACACATGAAATTCTAGAAAAAATAACACATAATTTGCAGTTACAGTTCACATCATTATAAAGAAGATAACTACTCTTGGAAATAATATTTCAGTTCACAGTACATTGTTATCAGTTTGCCCCTGAAGAAGAAAGATCCACCTTTCAAAAGCGCTTGGGTTATAGGGTTTTTATCATCTTGTTATCATGACAAAGATAATAATCATCACACTGCAAGATTCATTCAAGTTCACTCTATAATTCACTAAAATGTGCTTTATAAACAAAAGTACAATCTTAAAAAACATTGTTCACACACAAAGACACACAAACTGATTATTTCATCTTGTAGAAGTAACAAAATTCTGTTAATTAAAGTTATTTTACATTATCATAAAATTTTACCTTAAAACTGTCATTAAAAAAGTAACCACTAATAATTTAATACATACTTCAAACTTTATTGTTTCATTTCCATCTCTCAATACTGCCAAGTACTTCTGATTGTTACTCTCATGCTGTACAGATTCAAATTCAAGATGACTGTCACTGTCGACATGAAGGTTCTGAAAAACAATATAAAAAATAAAATTAAGTTTGTCTTTTACTGTTGAAATATACATAAAAAATTTCCAATTTCCAGTTGAAGTAACTTTATAACTTTCCTATACTAAAAATGTATTTTCAACAGGTACTTACCTCCACTCACATAAATAGCTATTCTCGTTCAGTGCTGCCCTCTATATGAAAACAAAAGTTTACACATGGCACAAGCCTTTTTTCTCCCCTCCATTGGAACTGACTAATTCCAATGCATCTCTCATGTGAATCATCATGCGACAACTCTCCACAAATAAGAGTGTGACACATTCTCTTGATGCATGTGACTTCCTCTATTCAATTCTACCAAACTACTACTTTGAGTTTTGTCAGAAAATGGAAGCACTAGTTTTCAGTGGGGAGGAAGGGTGGGAAGTGTGAGCAGAGTTAAGTACCTATCAGAAATACATTTTCAGAGTAGGAAAATTATAACTTCTGATACCATACATTACCCCTTCTCACATAAATAGCTAGAATCCCACACTGAAAGGTGGAGAGACTGCCGAGAGGGAAAGAAAGAAGCATCCTTCAAAAGAATCTAAAGGACATCTCCAACGAGTAAATCCTCGTTGTAAAAGATCATACGTGGGAGACCGTACCGCTTTTGTACCAGGTATACTCTTTGCCCACTGTGGAAAGATGTCACATACATGGGCAGAAAGACTGAGGAGCACATCTAAGTTGGAGAGAACTATGGCAGGATAGTGATCCGAACCATACGATATTTATTAAACTCAATCCGAGAAAACATAAAAGTGGGTAAGATGAAAAGGATTTGCTTTCTAGGTGTAGATTGGCTACAGTGCAACAGAACATACATGGTAAGTCAACTACATCCAAAATCCATGCCACTAGGAATTGACATCCACACAGGGGTAGGATGAGGATTATACCATCTGTAAGTCCCCTACAATCCAAAACCCGGCCAACAGGTACCGACCTCCATTTGGGGATAGAAAAAGAGGATTATACCACTGGCAAGTCGACTACAATCCAAAACCCAGACCACTGGGGACCAACATCCATGTAGGGGGTAGGAAAGAACATCATACTGGTGACAAGTCAACTACAATCCAAAATCCAGTGATCTAACAGTGGGTACAGTCCAGGACGAGCAAAAAATTATGAAGCAATTCTATTGCAAGGTCAAACCTACAATCAATCTTTTGGAACACTCCATCTCTACAGTGTGCATTGCATGGCCAAGGAATTATAATATGCAAGTGAACATGGCTTGACAGTGCAGAGTTGAACAGTTAAGGAATACCTGGTCAGGCAGCACTTGCCACAGAGCAGGATCCAAACAATGAGTAATAATAATGAAAAGAGAAATAAGACCCCTGAAAATAAAATAAAGAATAATAAAAAATAAATTATCCAGTCAAAGTCTCACTGAAGTCTGAAGAATGGCTAGAGGCAGAAGACGATAGCCTGAAGAGGAAGAAAACATGATCCAATGCAAGTAGTGAGAGACAAGCATATTAGATGTCCACATGCCCAACTGAAGAATTTCCTCCAATGGATGACGAGGATGAAATGCCACATAAAAAGTAAGGTGTTGAATTTGATGAGAAGACACCTGGAACAAAGTACAGGCGGAAGATGATAAAGAGGTATAAGCCAATCAAACCAAAAGGCAAACCCAATTGGTGAGGGTGGAAGGAGAGAGGATGGGTGCCAAGGGATAAAGAGGCAGGAACAGGTACCACAGCAGGAAGCCATGAAGGCAATATAACAGTGAAGAGCATGTACAGGACATGGAAGTCTATCCAGATCAGACCTAGGATAATGGTGGGAAATGAAAGGAAGGGAAATTGGAGAAAAGGAAGAGTTACCCTCCCAAGCTGCTGAAGTTTCTGGGAGGAAAGAACGATCTGGATAAAGGAGAATATATGTAGGATGATACAGAATACGTGAAGCATCGATGGCAAATATATCAGACCTCTGATGTCCACAGGCTAAAAAGGAGAAGGAAATAAGACTTAAGGGAAGGGTGAAACAAGGAGCATATGGAGAGTGATTTAAATGGAGGCAAAGTAAGGCAGTGAACCACATTAACATCCAAGTCTGGAATGGCAGTTTGCTGCAGTGGACGATGAATCCAAAACGAATGTATCAACATGGAAAGCAAAGGAGAGGTAAATACCATATATTATCGGGAAAAACGAAAGGTGTGGGACAAGGACCAGATGTGAAGACAGAGGACATGAAGGGCTGGATGAAGCACCAGTGACCGAGGTTGACGAAGAAGGGAGGGAGACAAAGGAAGAGGTATTGGAGGAGTAAGTTGGAGGTAGAGAAGCCTCAGAAACCACTGCTGAGCCTGCCAGTAAGGTGCAATCAGTAGGACTTGACACAGAATTGTATGGATGATCAAAATCACCTGGTAATGAAGTTGAATGGGAGGATAAACATATCGGTATTTGTTGGTCCAATCCTGGCTGAAAGCCTCGACAGCCAGAGCAAGAGGATGAGGGACTGGATACCAAATCAGAGGTAATTTGTGGTTGAGAAACATGGTAAAAGCATCTATGTGAGGAGTACCTCACTGAAAGCAAAGCCACTGGAAAACAAGAGAATTGAGAGACCACTCTGTTGGGTAGATTTTGTCTGGACAGGAAAGCCGATCCGCAACAAGACTGAAAGCACCTGGAACATGGCATGCAATGATATGAATATCTTGTGTGTGGGCCCAAAAAAGGAAGATCCAATGTATGAATACAGAGGGATCGAGAATGGGTGCCACCCTGGTGATTGAGATAAGCAACCACTATAGAATTGTCAGAATGGATCATTACTCAGACAATGTCTGGCCAGATGGAGAAAATGAACCAAACTCCAATGTTCAGCAAGAAGCTCCAGGATGTTGACATGATAAGACCTCTTGACTGCAGACCAATATCCCGAAACTACCTGTTGATCGACCCATGCCCCCCATCCTTGAAGGGTATGAGAAAGGGTAATAACAGCCTGCAAGACTCCACTGGTCATGAAGAGCCTGCATATGAGCACGACCTAAGGGGATAAGGGCTGATATGGAAGACTACATCCTCAAAAGTGATAGAACCTCACGAGCTGTAATAGAGGGAGCAGTAAAAGCGTGGAGAACTGAAATCTCCATAAAACGAACTCTAAAAGGAGAAGGTTGGGCCTGACTGAGGTGGATGGTGAAAAAAACACCCAAATGGACATGATATTAGGTAGTTTTAAGGAATAACTTCTATAATTTGATTAACCATCCCACTTGAGCCACCTTCAGGAGCAACTGATGAGTGTGACTGTTCAGAACAAATTAACAGTAGCCAATTATCCATATAATGATGAAAGCCTAACCCAAGAGCATTAGGTGACGAACAAAAGCTCTGACCACCTGACAAAATACATACAGGACTGAATCAAGCCCAAAGAGCAGTTTGAGAGATTGATAAACCACCCTGTGATGAACAAACTGAAGATATGGTCATGACTGACAAGATATTGGGATATGCAAGTAAGCATTAGCAACGTCCATCTTGGTCATCCACAAACCTGGAGAAAAAAGCCCACATGAGGGTGTGAAACGATTCCATGGTAAAAATGGGGTAGATTGAGAAAATGACTGAGGTAGAACAAATCTATTACAGAACACCAATCCCTGATTTTCTTGAGGACAACAAATAGTCTGGAATAAAAGCTTGGAGAAAGATGATGAACAGGTTCCATGGCCTGTTGAGACAAAAGGTCTTGTACCGCCTCTGACAGACACTGGCTGGTGATAGGATCCTGAGGCATAGACAAATAGCTGAGACAAATAAGATATGATAAAACCCGAATAACCCATTGAACTGTGTCAAAAGATCATCAAAGGGGAACAAATATGCACAATTGAGCTCTCACTTGTAACCCTCTGGGTAGTAACCTGGTACTGTTGGCACTATGCCCATCTACATTGGATAAAATGATGAGATGAGGAACCCCTGGAGGGAGAAGCAGGTAAGGGCTGAGAAGGACTAGGATGGGAAACAGGAATAGGGGCTCAGAATCTTGGTGTATCACCTCAGAAAGGAGATGGATTGTAGATAAATACCTTAGAAATGAAGAGAGTTAGACAAAAGCATGAAAACTAGGCATGGGTTAAACACATAGGAAAATCAAGGATTGCCCCCCACACAGGTAAAATAAACCCCAACTGCTAAGAGTGAAGCAACGGACAGTCAGCTTGATGGTAAGGTAAAGCAAACTGATCCATAGCCCATAAAGGGCGAGGCATGATGGCACCCTAAACTACGAAAATTGCTTAGCATGAACCTTAATATCCAGGGAGAACTAAGTATGGAGAGGAAGAATTATCATGCAACAAAGAAGGACGGGGATCATAGAAAATCAGGGAAATGAATAAAACAACACATACTTGAGAAATCATGTCTAAAAATGCCATATTAGGCCTAACTGGTTATGCAAGTTGAGCAAAGGAAGACACAGCAAAATCTAGTGGTGGAAAAAGGCTATCAAAATCTTAATTGTCCCAACCAGATTTGGCTTGTTCAGGAGGAAGTGGGGCAAGTTCAGGAGAAGATGGTTGACCCATATAATGATCAATCTCTCAGCGGGTAAGAGTGCTTGTAGGAGGTATGATACCTGAAGTTGTAACATAAACCTCAGAATTCATATCAGAAATGCAAATCAAACAAAAATGTTTGATAGACAAATGCAAATGTGAGAGAAAAAAGAAATGAAGACTGTGAAATTATGTTAAAGTAAAAAGCATCCTCAATATAACAAAAAAAAATTAATGAAGATATCCCACTGCAGAATTAAAACTAGTAAATTTACGAGTATGAAGCACATGAAAAGCACCAAAAACAAAAAACATCTGAACGAGAAATGGTAGTTAGGTAGAATTGAAGGGAGTCACATGCATAAAGAGAGTATGTTATTGGTGTATGTTATCTACTCTTATTGGTGGAGGGTTGTCGCATGATGATTTGCATGAGAGATGCATTGGAATTAGTCAATTCCAGTGGAGGGAAGAAAAAAGGCTTGTGGCATGCATAAATTTATTTTTTGCATATAGAGGGCAACACTGAACGAGAATAGCAACTTATGTGAGAAGAGGTAATGTACCGTATTACAACATTACTTTAACAGCGTGTTAATTTACGTTTATATAGAAATTACAGAAACATACAAAATTCTTTTACCAAATGGATATGACTGTCAACACACTAAATAAACTCAGTTAAGCAACTACAGAAACAGCACCAAACCTTTAGAACATGTTCAACTGATCTACATCCCTTGTTGTTTAAAAAAGCCTGATATGGATAGAGCCAGCTGATTAACTTGTTCATTGAAACTTGTGGAACTTTTGCCTGAAATATAAATAATGAAATTTAATAATTTACTGCTTAAAACTTTAATAACTATATTTTAAATGTTTTTGATAAAGGAAAAAAAAAAGTGTAATACCAAAACCAACCATTCAAGACAAAAACACTTTATAGAAAATTGTATAGAAACGTACACAAGACAAATCACTTTGAAATATTTGTCCAAAACAATAAAGCATTTAAAACTTCTTAATACCAAATAACTACCAAGCCAACAGAAATTTTACTAAATTGAAGATGATTCACAGAAAGGAAAATGTTTTTTTTTCGAATTTATAATCATATTTTTACAAACTACCATGAAAATTTCACTTCAACTTCTTCAAATAACAAACCTGAATGAAGAGACTAATTTTTTTTGTTCCTATATAGACAAGTACAATAAAAAAAAATTAATTTTATAAAGACAAGTACTGATCTATATATACATAACCTAGCTAGCTCTAGTAATATAGAAAGTTTTAATGCTACAGAAAGTATTGAAACAAAAATGTTAAAACTACATAAACTGAGTTACTTAAAATTTAATCCCTACTTTGGCAAATCACTGTAATTATGTTAGTCTGAACCAAAGCAAGGATAATTTTTTTTAATTCTAAGTAACTCAGTTTTTGCAGTTTTGACTTTCTTGTTTTAGTACTTTTTGTAGCATTAAAACTTTCTGTATAACTACAGCTAGCTGGGTTACATATATAATGATCCCTATTTGTCTTTATAAAATTTATAATTTTTTTATTATACTTGTTTGTTTCCTTATTATTAGCTATATTTTTGTGCACCAGCAATAACAAACGTGGGGCGAGCATATACCTGATTTGATTTTATTACTCATCATGATCTCTACCAACCCACTCTCAAATCTAATTATATTCCCAAAGTAGCACATCATCCATTTTATATATATATTTTTACACTTATTTCTTTTTTGGTACAAGAAAGGAATCACTGGGTCCGAGGACGGAATAGTTCTATGAATTAATTAGAATGATAAGGTTTGTCATTTTTTCTGTATGCTTGTCTGGAAAAGTCACTTACTTAAATGAAAATTCGTTGAAATAGTGAAATTTTGATTCACTCCATGAACATGTATATAGTGATTTAGGTGGTTTTATAAATACAATAAGCTTTAGTTTTGCTCAGCTAATACTGTTATATAGCCATTGTTAATATTCAGACATTTTAAAGTTGGTTTTAAATGAGCTATTTTTATGGTCACCATTTTGTTTCAAAACAATCCCCACTATTAAGTAGTGATGAGAAAACAGCTAATCCTTCTTAGACAGGAAAACTCAGCCCATTCATCCTATATGTTAATTTATATTTCTGTCTCTATCTTTCAAGTTCTTGTGTTATTAATAAAGAAGCTACAAGCTTATAATATCTTAATTTTTTAAAATATAAAGAAAACTATAATTTTAAAATCCTAATAAGAAATAGTAATAGGAGTTAACATAAAACCCTGATGACTGATGCACAATATTATGGATTCTTGAGAAAAGTTGTGGTCCTCCATCTGATTCTAAAGAAATATCAGAGAAAAAGAAAACTATCTAGTAGCATTGTCTTTCACTAATGAAATGTACTTTAAAGTAACATTGCCCACAACAATACTTTTATGTAACATAATGCAGATACTCACTAGAATATAAGCCATGTCAGATAAACTCTCAACAGGAAAGTCTGGAAAGCCTAGAGTCTTTGATTCTTCTGTCATCAAAGTGTGAGCAACAGAAAGGATACGAGAAAGTCTGTAATAAATAAACAGAAAATAACACTTTTATCTCTTGGATTTAGAATTTTTGTGCAAAGTTACACAGGAGCTATCCACACATATAAAGTAATATATATAATAATGTCAGTTAATACTGACCACAACCGATCAATTTTATCTAAGATTCTAAACTAATCAAACAAATTGTCCTAAATACTCTGTATTTAGCTTCTGACAACTAGCAAAAAAGTAAATAAAATAACCAAGGAACATAATGATTAGTCACTTACTTTTGTCAAAAATCTTGTCATGAAAATGAGATTACAAGAAACACAAAACTAATCACTTACTTGTTACTTGTGAACAGCAAACTTTTCATAAAAAGTAACTGAAATATAACAAGAATCACAAGACTAGTCACTTACTTGTCTACAGCAATCCTGTCATTAAAGTAATAAAAATACAACAACAAAAATACAAGACTAGCCACTTACTTGTCTACAGCAATCTTGTCGTGCTGTTCTTTCAAAAGAGTAAATTGTTCCTGACAAAATAAAAACAACAAGAATACTTCAACAAATATTTCCTAACTATAAATATGTAACATTAAAAGAAATGAAAAAAAATTTTGTTACTGAAAGAATGTATGTTAAGTTTCATGAAGCCTTTGTGAAATATAAATCCTGGTGATCCCCATATTTTTCCTAAAAAGTAAGAACTAATCTTATATAACTAAGAAAGAAAAAGTTACATAAAGTCTAATGCATATCTCTTGTGTTTCTGACATGCACACAAAAAAAGTGAAGCTGGGAGATTTGATTTACAAATTATTAATCAAATTTACACCATACATATGCAACAGCAGTAGGAAGAAATAATATATGAATACAACAAAATTAATGTTGTGTTCAAGCATTGTGATAAGCTAAAAAAACAAAAGAAATGTAATCACACTGAATAATGTGGGAACACTGTTTGAAACAACACACACACACACAAATAAATACTATAAATGAGCTTCTGTGAAAATTGCTGAAATGTTTGATAACACAGGCCTGCAAGTTTAAACTTCATAAAAGTTGTTTTGGTTTTAATAACGGATTTTCTATAATTCTGTTACTAAGATTTTGAAAATGACATCATGTAAGGATTTTTTACAAATCAGGAAGAAAAAAAACTCTTACTTAGATCAAATTATTATTTTGTTTACCACAATGAGCATTTTTTTATTATTATGTTTGTTAACAAAGATACAAACAAACTGAAGAAAAGAGAAGAACATATGTGTCAAATGAATATGCATCCTCATTCATCCTAATTTTTTTGTGAAATCTATGTCTTTTAGTCTCAAAACTATGTGTTGTGGTCTTTCTTTTATGTATTGCATAATGACGTTTTGTGAAAAACAAGTACATAATGGAGAAAAATGGATATCATTTTTGGATTTGAAATTGCTGTAGAGCATGTAAAAATTTCAAAACAATAAAACCATTGCAGGCCTGTGTAATTACTCAATTACCTACAGCTGACAGTTTCATATGGCAACTTAGGAAATATATCATTCACTAAAAACTTTGAGTTATTGGAAAAACAAAGTGATTCTAATTTTTCACACACAGAAAAATACTCTACAGAATTATTTTTACTGCAGTTTGACAATTCCTGCAAAACAAACAGTCTTGCCTATGTATTAATCATTTATGGCCATAACACAGTTCAGTCTTTAATAACTGTGTGTTCAAGTACACAATCCTATCTAGTTGTATATATATATATATACATTTCTCGTCAATACCTAGTACTTCTTTGCTAGGTATTGGTTATTCAAAACCAGTACACAGTTTGGCCAACTTCTATACTGATTATTTGTGACCACTTGTGGCTAGTATGAAGTCCTGTTCGATTGTGTGATGTTCACTGATGGTCCTTACACACAATTTAGTCGTTGACACTCACTACACAATCCTATTTGTAAACCAATAATACCATAATTTAAAATGGGGAAAACAATTATGCAATTGTTGACTGAAATAACTTATGTTTGCCTTTCGAATCAGATGGTTCTAGTTGCTTTAAGTCTTTACTTAACAAAATAACATGTGTTATTTATCCTTGGTGTTTCATCAGATTTATAAGTTATCCTGAAAAAAACAAAAAAGGGGTAAAGAAGGCCACAGTGTGCTTCAATTACTTCTGTAACAATTAGTTTTAAATAATAAATTACTATAACAAATGGACAACAAGATCTCACCTTTAACAGTTGGAAATGTACATCAAATTTTAACACAGTACTTGAAATTTACTGACTAGATAAGAACGTATAGGTACATTCTCCTACCAAGTTTACAAATTATGAGTAGAAAATGTATCACATATAAGATATCTGAGTAGAATACAGTGTTAAATTTGCAATAACTATCCCGGGAGATATAAATATAAGTTACAAAATTATTTATTTACTCCAGGAAAATCAATAATTTATAACTGAGTGTAATATCCTAGTAAAAGTACAGACATACAAGTATAATTTAACTCATTCTAGGGCACATGATTAGCCATTGTCAATACATATGAATTACAATTTTATAAAAAAGGTAATGCTAATGCAATTTACTCTACATTAAGAGTCTTGAACTGTCAAATATAAATATTAATTTTATATAACTTTGCAAGGAATAAAAATACCTGAAATGACATTGGTTCAATATTTCTGACTTGAAACCGAGATCTTAACGGAGGGTCCAAAGGGTTACCTCGATATGGGGGAACTGGCAGACCCAAAGCTATTACTCTAAAGTTATCAGCAACTCGAACAAGGTTCCAGGAACTTAACTCATCTTTAGAATGTTCCTACAGGAATAATTATTATTTTTGTTGATAAAAAATACATTTTGAAAGAAAAACATGAAATTAGAAATCTAAAATTTGTATAAACTTCATGAAGTAGGTTTTAGAAAAAAAAGATTATCTTAAAATAAGTGTCTGACTAAATATATTTGAATGCCATAAATTTCAAGTTTTCATATCTAATTAAAATAATGAGTAATAAAAAAAGTTTGCCTCATGATCATCTCTTCTCTACTCAGTGATCGTTAAACGATAATACTAATACATAATAAGTGTCACAAGACATTATTTTTTTGTAATTTTGTTTTTACATTGTTTTCAACTGTATTCATATAACAATGAAGGCAATGAACCCTTTTAATGTTCAAGCTATCTCACTCATTGATGTATGTACTGTAAAGCATATAATGTTTATATGAGCTATTGTAGTTTATTTGGAAAGTAACAGTCTCTTTAATAAATGAATAAGAAAATCTTAAATTTAGAATCAAAGATTATATAATGCAGGATTCATGTAATATTGATGTGTGAACTTTCCATTTTACTGACAAACCTGTGGATTATTTTTTTCCTTTACATTTTACAATTTTCTTTAATAGATTGTAAATCTATTTAAGTTTTTTCAGTGTCACAAGTATGAATACAGAAAAACAAACAGGTTTGAATATAAGTATTTAACCTGCAACTGCATCTGAAAAATTAGAGATCTTTACATTTGTATTTTTTAAGCTCATTCCAAAAATCAGACAAGAGACCAATTAATTAGAGAAATTTTTAACCCTTTAACCACTGATATCCTTAAAACACTTTTCTGTGCATGTCACCGTGTTACATTCAAAATTTAATTAAATACCTTTACTATCAATTTATGTGAATTAAGTTAACATTATAATGTATGTTATGATTCAAAGTTTTATGTTATCCAAGTTTTAAGTCCTTTATTTCAAAACTACTTAAAACTTCAGTAGCTATATTAAAAATTCTCTACTTTGGCTCTCTGTATCTTCAGTAATACAATGGCAGTTGTGCTTACATAACCTTTTGACGCATACATTTCAAAGTTCTCTAAATGAATGCAATTGAAACAAGTAATAATTTTTTCAACCCCTGACAGGTGCCATGCCAACCTTCAACAATTTTATTTGAGCTTTATAGCCTACATGTGGATGTTACATAAGCATGTGTAGAGTCATTAGAAAGAATGCATTTTACACTATAATCTAACAGTTCTCATCATGGAGTACATGAACTGACTGTAGTATTGTTGGCTGCTTGATCAACTATAGCACTTACTGTTGTTTCTTACTTAAATATGCTATAGTTATAGATACAGTTTAAATGGTATTTAGGTCTTACTATTATATTTTAGTTAATTATGTATTAGCTATGTTTTAATTGAAAGGTTTAAACATTTTTTAAATATCCATCATACTTTGAATCAGTTCTCAAGACTTACAATATTATGCAGTGCACAAAAATTTTGTTGAAGGGTTGCGCATGTCTGCCAGAGACACTGTAATATGCCTCAAGGGCACTGTTGACTTGTGTCAAGATAAATAATAAGTGGTAAAGGACAAGAAAGGAAAATAAAACATTAAAAATGAACTATATGTGAAAAGGAAAAGACATGAAATTATGAATTTAACAAAAGCCAAACCTTTAAAGATATTCTACAAAAACTTAAAAAGTATGTATATTTTTTTTCTGTTTCCTAATTTTAATTATTTCATTGCATTGTAGGTTGATGATAATAGCTAGAGTTAGTGATATGTTAGAGAAAATGAAAAATAAACATACACATTTACCTTGAACAAATTTTTGATATTCATTTAGGAGGTTCTAGAGGTTACGCAAATGAAATATGAAAACTATAAGATGAAAAAAAGTATTTTTATACTTAAAATGAAAACAATTTTGCACACAACATATTTTAATAGTTTGAGTGCAAATAACTACTATAGATAAATAACATTATTATTAGAAAGACGTAATTAAAATAATGTCATTCTTTGTGTACAAAATACTTACAAACTTTAACAAAATCTTGTGAGGTTTTGTGGGGAACACTCAGAGTTACCATATGTTTTTCGCATAAATGTCCTTCCCCAGTTGAAGTGATACACACTGAATCAACCTGAGGTGAATGGGTTAAACTGATTTCAGTATTTGCTATCTCCTTAACCCTCTGAACTCAATGAACCTTTAAACCCCTTTCTGTGCGTGTCATGAGATTTTACTGAGTTAATTTCAACATGGAATTAAACCACTTTTCTATAATCGTATTTTAATGAAATTACTATTATCAAGTACATAATAATTTAAGGTTTTATACTATCTGAGTTTTTGCTGTAACGTGATCCACTGTGGTTAAAATTCTCAAGTTTAAGAGGTCTTAGACAAGAAACTATAAGTTCCCAATTAAGACTGTTGGTACAGACGGTCAAAGTACAGTTCCAGCTGTCTCTCATTAGCTGGGGGGAAACTTCCAAGAATTTCTCTCGGGGTGAAACAACATTCTAATATTTAAGTCAGCCACGCCCACTCGCCCTATAATAAACAACATAGCATGGATCTTAGGATAATGAATAAAAGACAAAGAATTGGAAAGGGAAATTAAAAATACACTACAAGTGAAAAGATAAAGACGTAAAATTATGAATATGACAAAAAGAAATATTTAAACTATTCTTAAAAAATTTAAAAGGTATGTACTTACTTCCATTTCTTAATTTTAAACATTTTAATGTACTGTACATTAAAGATGATATCTGGAGTTAATGATATAATAGGGAAAGTTGGAAAACAAAATATAAAAATTTACTTTAAAAAACTTTTGATATTCATTTAGGAGGTTCTAGAGATTGAGCAAATGAAATGTGAAAACTGTGAGATAGGAAATAGTATTTTTATACTCAAAATAAAATTCACATTGAATGTGACCTATTCAGATTAAATAATGAATGTTTTATTATAAATAGTAGAAAAAATCAAAATTAAATATCTTATTTTTCTAAAAGTACATAATCTTAGGACTGTTCAAGACAAATTTGAAAATATTTCATCAACTAGTTTTATTTTTATAAAGAACTTTCACGAAAGTCGCATACCTACTTACAATTTAAGTAGATCGCAGTCAAAGGGTTAATGTTGAAAGCCACTGGTAATGCTGATTGTGAAGTAAAAAGTAAATTTCAACTTATAAAAATTAGTGTTAATCTATACTTGCAGCACATTGTGCATGACTTTTTGCACATTTTGAAAGTATTGCTGTTTATGTGTAACTGATATTAAAACAATGCTCACAGAGCAAGAGAAGATAGAAAAATGTTTAAGAATTATTCTTGTACAAAATTACGTATATATTACACATTTATGTTTCTTTCACAATGTGTACCTAATTATGCATGAAATAACACAAAAGAAAGTACCAGCAGAAGTTTATCATAACGAACGGGATGGACAAGGAAACGTCCATCTTCCAATTGCATCTCACGATTCTCCAAAAGGTTATTCAATACAGGAAGAACATTCCTCTCTGCTTTCTCAATCCCATCAAGCAGCAGCACTCTTCCTTCTATAGCAGCTTTTACAGCACTCTGAAGCAGAAAATGTCCCACTTAAAAGTGAAGTAACTTATATAGCTTTCAGACAAATGTGAACATTTCAGTAGGAGAGTTTAAATATTAAAAAAAAAGAAGTTAAATTAACCTGTCATTTCTGTATAACTAATTAATATTTACCTTCAGTACTCATGTTTTACTTTTTACAAAGGCAATGCATCTGTTTAATCATCACTTTTGTACAAGAAAAGAGCTAACATAAAACAATTAGAGACAGAGGACACCTTTAACACACACTTTGGTTGGGAGTTGTCTACTAGCTGATGATATCTAAAGTTTCACATCACATGTCAACATGATGTGGATAAGGATGTCATTGCTCAGAATTAATAAAGGATATAAATCTAACTGCAGAGGAATTATTTTTGGCAGCCTACTACAAAATTTATAAATTAATAGTAGGTTATTTTCAGGAGCAGTGCTAGGTCTTGGCAACAAATAAAATAAAGCAAATTCAATATCTTAAGAAAAGTAAATGTAATGATAACAAACATAACAAAGAAAACATTAAAATTATTTGTAAGTAAAACTAAATATACAATTTCATTTTATTTTTTATAGTACAGAAATTCACAATTATACACTGTCCAAGTCACCAGTATGTGAAGCCAAACAACAGAATTTACTAAGAAAGTATTCTTGTTATGATGTGCTTAAGTATTTGCAACAAAAGAAAACTCTAGGTATACTATTTCACCATTGACTGTAAATCATTGAATTAAAATAACATACACTTTTTTTTCACTAATTATTTAAAGTTTTTACACCAACTATATCCTTGAAAAAAAAAGTTTTAAATCACGACCTGATCAATGTAATGAGCACTGCTAGATGTAATCTCTCTTCTCTGTTTCAGGTCAGTGTCTGTAGTGTCTCGAGATAAAGCCACATACTCTACTTCCTGCTTTGTCAATTCCTACAATAAATCAGTTAGAAATTACCATCATAAGATAATTTAATCACAGGTGAATATCAGTAAGAGCAGGTATAAACCATCAGATAATTAGGATTTAACATGAGAATAAAACATATCTACAAAATAAATCACTACAGAAGCACACAATTTATAATTTGGAAACAAAAAGATAATTATAAAAAAGAGAAGTGGTATTAAAGTTAAAAATTATTCATTGCATTTTTAAATTGTGTAACAAGTCCACAAAGGTCAATTGAATAAAGAATTTTAAGTCACACAGCCCTACTGAACTGCAATGTCATATAACATCACAGTGCTTTGATCTGTTTCAGTCACAGGATAACACTAAAAAACTCTACTACAATAAAACTAATTAAGTTCTTACCAAATACTGCAAGGCAAAAACCCTTCGTCTTGGACCAGGTGGACCAAGTAAGAAAATGTCTTGTCCCAAAGCATCCTATATTAAAATTTATTTCCTTTATTCATCTAACATATTCGGTAGCATTGGTCAACAGATTATTCAGCTTTTAAAATAATATCTGTAACATTACAAAATGATACAAACTATTTTGTTAAGCACACTAAATTAAACTATGGTTAAAATCTCAAAAATTAACGTTTATAAAATAAAAGAATGATCAGTTGAAAAATAATATTTAATATTTTCCACTATTATATATTTAGAATCTTCATACTTTTTTAAGTGCTGTTATGAAAATAAGAGTTAATGTAGTTTTCAATATCTTAGCTTAATGTTTTATTGTTTACAATAAAAATATAAGTTACTGAAATTATAATTACTTGTTGTCAATTCAAAGTGAAGATCAATATTAAACATACAGTCTACCTTCTGAAGCATCCATCGTAAATGTTCAAGAACAGATCTAGGCAACCTGGCAGGCACTATATAAAATCATATCATTTCAGTTTTATTCATTAGTATAAGTATCTTTTTACAAATATGTAAATATACAGGAACAATGTGAATTACAAGTTTAAGTTATATTTAATATCCAATGGTCACAATCACTGGATATAAATAAATATAATTATAAATATAATCTATCAAATATTTTGAAAAAAAAAAAGAATTTAAAAACTACTGAAATAAAATAAAACTATAAATATATTGTACCTTTTAAGAGAAAAAAAAAATAGGTGTATTTTATTGTAAAGAGTAACACTATTAGCCAATTTATTGCTATAGTGTTTTTTTTTTCTTTTTGACTAACAAAATCATTGTTGTGTGAGTGAGAACCAACATTTAATAATGGTAAAATATGTTGGCTGAGTATGATAACTTAGTTTAATGCAGTCAAAAGAAAAGATGTATTAATATGTATTCAGAGTTATGGGAGAAATGTCACTAAAATTTCCCAACACAGGATTTGTTTAGAGCTGTCTTACATACAGTTCTTGTCAGCAAGTTAAACCTAGTTCTTGCAAGGTCCTTAAATAATATTTCATAAAAAGTAAAACAAACATTTTCAGTTTTCCAATTTCTAAGAAATGTATTTCTTCTAACACAAAAAAATATTATTACTATAATTACAAAATAAGATTAACTGCCTAATGGTTAAAATTTGCTACAATGCACAATTCAAATTACACCAAAGCTTTAAAAAATATACAAAATAAAAAATACACATAAAGACATATAACTAACAAGAAGGCACTCAGTTTTAAATTAATTAAAACAAAAGGGTGACTGACTTATGGAATGAGTTGCCATTGGCAGGAATGGCGGCAAGCACTTTATATGAGTTCAACTTTAAGAGAGTAATTCATGAATTCAAAGGCAAGTTCAAATTTTTACCTCACTGATGAGTGGGTTTTCAAGGACAGCCTTGAAAGACCAAATGGTCCCTTGTTGTCCATACATTATGTTAACATGAAAGACAAAGCTACTTAAATTAATACTACATTTCAACAACTTTATATAAGATAAAAAACACAATATGGTACAACAGGTTAAGTTATATGATTTTTTCTAGTTATAAATCTACATAACAAGTTAACTGTACAAGTTTTAAACAACTGATATTAACTTGTTTTGTAACAAAAAGTACTAATTATTGAGAAGAATGACAAAGTGTTAAAGTTTGGAACTGGAACAAGGAAGTATTTTTTATGACCAGTCTATGAAGAAGCATTAGTTGTTATTTTTTCAAACTTAACAATCTCAAACACTCTGATCAAATAGTAATGAGCAATTATTAAACATATTGTAGTGTTTCAGTAAATACTAGGCTTAACTGCATTAGTAATTTTTTGTCAGTTACTTGTAGTTTGTAGCATGTACTTGTAAAAATGGGTTTATATGTCACTATCAGTAAATAAAATCTTAATCTAAAAATATCTTCAATTAGATTTACATTATTTTGCCTAAAGGTATTATTATTATAGATAAAGACTGATAACACACACACATAAAATACTCCAAACATGTTTTACTTTCACACCATTTGTGTCAAGCAGCAACCACAGTGTAGAATGTCATGTAGGAGAACAGAAATACAAAACTTAAATTAGTGTCTAATTAAAACTTCACCTACTGAAATAACATAACACTGTACATATATAATCATTAAAACATTTCTTTCAGTTGTTATTGAGAATATTATAAATGTATCTCTACTTTATATAATATTAACCGTTTTGTTTCAGGGTTAGATTTACACTTGGTAATCCAATAAAACTTTGAGGTTCTTGATCAGTCAAAAAAATATTTTCTATAATATCTATATTTCTTACATCCATGTTCATGTTTTTTTATAACTTACAATAGCCAACTGGAACCAGTTCAGGATGTTTAGGTGGTCTAACAACATGGGATGAATCTCCAATTCTAACTGTTACCTTACCTATACAACACACAAGAAATTTAGACAAATGCAATTAAACCATAGACAAATTAATATTTTAAATACTAAATCATTTGTTTAAAACGGTAATGTTAGATGCAGTAGTAGCCATAAAAAAAAAGTACACTGACAACTTCATCAGCTGTACAAAAGAAAGAGATGGTGTTTGGACAATATTGCACAGTAATTACAACCAGTAAGTACCTATACATGTAGTGTAAAAGGCAAAAAGAATGATTATAATTTATCTATTGATTCCAAGAATTAAAACAAATTAAATCTTTATGTAACATGTCTTAAGAGTAATCCTTCATAATTTTGAACATTACTTTTACAGCTATATGAGACTGAAACATTTGAGACATTTTATAAAAATTACAAATGCTTCTGTAACAAGAAATATAAATTTTCATACATATTCATGTATAACACATTTTTACATGTCAAGCAGAGAAGAGATGTACACATTAACATATAACCAATTGGAAGTTTTACAAGAACAGTTATCCAAATACGGAAATGGGAAGATAAATTAAAACATCAACTCACCAAGATGCAATCCAAGTTTTGACATATGAAATCGAAACCAGCAGTCTGACAACAAACAGATGCGACCATAGCAGGGACAAAGGCTACAGAATGTTTATGTTATCTTCACTAACTCGTGGAACTAAGCCACAGAGAAAATGGATGGTGGAACTTTGTTTGGAAGGAAAACATGAATAGATACATGCAAATAGACTGCTGTCTAACAACTGTTGACCAACACCAATTATCTTTTAGTCTTTGTTTTTATTCAATGATTCACCAGAATTAAACCACTTGGACAGAGGGTCTATTTGCAAACTAAGCCTGTAGTGCTAATTGAAAGATTGTGAGAAGACGTAGAAATGAGTATTTAATCTCATGTTTTCAGCTCAAAAGTCAGTTCTCCAGTGAAAAAACCAGTGACCAGTAGAATTGCTGTAATCCTGATTCCTGATCATGGCCATATTACAAAACTTGACAAATCTCTGCCATACAAATTCCTTATAAGTATAAATTGCTACTTTCTGTCTATTCTAGTAGTGTAGTTACAAAATGATGTATTATGTGTACAAATAATAAGATGATGTTGAAAGAGATCTCACTTGTAGACTTGGTAAGGTTTATCAAAGAAGTAATAGCTTTGTTAAAGGATACCTTAGAGGAAGTATTAACCAGATTACAGAAGTTAAACTATGTCTAAATATTTGATTGATAATTTGTTCAGTGTAGTTTCAGATTTGATAAGTATTATTGAAAGTCTAATTAATGAACAATTACTAGTTTAAAGGGAAGATCTCGATGTCTTTAATGAGGAACTGTTTTTGGATAGTTTTAATACTATGAATGTAGATGAATATTTGAATTAAAGTATTATATGTGTTCTGAATTTCTGCCTTTGAGTCAATTTTTTCTTTATTCTGACTGTGAACCTCCTCAATTTGGTGACTTGTGTACTCCACTCATGACTGCATACCTGGATTCAGTTAAATTCATTTGTGACTGGTGTTAAAGTAAAACCCCAAATGACTAGCTTATATGGCCTCCCATTACAAGATAAATGAAACACAACTCAAATTTTATTCATTTACTACTTATCTTTGTATCCTACAAAACTTGAAGTGCTTGAATATTTTTGGTTACAATTTGTAAGCAAAATGTCATTAGCTGAATAGTTATTTTGGCTGCTCTTGGGTATAATGTAAATGTAATTTCAATGAAAAGAGCTTACCAGTATCATTTTTTTTGGAAAATGTTCTATATAATGTTCTTTGTTTTACTCTCATCAGAAAATACTTAAACAAATGTGGTTTTAGGCACTGGAAATCCATACTTCTTCATGAGCATTTTATGAAGCTACATCTGCAAACAAGACAAGCATAGTAAAAAATTCTATTGTAATGTTTATAAAATTGTTAACTGAAACTGTAATAACAAATCATATGTAAATAGTAATTTATAACTTAATTATAGGTATGATAAAATATAAAAGTTAATACATTTCTTTGTTCTAACTAGGTCATTTATTATTTAGTTACTCAAGCAAAATAGTAATGGTATTGCTTCACTAAAGAATTATTAATCTATCACAGATGTATAGGTCAAATACATGTATGTATACTGTAGGTCACATTAACCAATACGGCAGAAAAAAAAACATTTTCCTTAATTGAAAATGTATTTCTGAAAGATACATTTTCATACAGAAAGCTATCTTCCCTGTGTGTCTACCTTAGAGACTTGCATGCCACTAGCTTTTAGGCAACTCCCAACTAACTCACAACACAACCTCCCTTCCCACAAGATCCTTCTATACTTTTGCACTTGTGATTTTCAGTTTGTGATGAGGCAAGGAATATTAAGTTGCACTGTAAGTGGGGAAAAAGGGTGTGAAAGGTATCTACTGGAGATACATTTACAGGTAAGGAAAATGTTAATTTCCAAGGCGATATACACACCGCTTCACAAAGAAAGCTAGAACACCACACTGAAATGGTGGAGAGTCTGGTGTGAAAGTTACATAGGTGAGCTCCCTTCAGGTATGGGTTGAATAAGAACATAGCCATCTGAAGATTGCCAACAAGAGGTCAGAAAGGCAATAGGTGTAGCATGGTTGAGGTGCATTCAGACCATACCAAGTACTTACTTCAACTCTACTATCAGATTTATTGTACTGGCACTGGCTGTGAGAGGAGGGCACAGAATACATGCCATGGTGTCTTTGTTGACACTAGCAGAAGGAGGATGTGATTTGTTTGTAAGTGTTCACCTCAACTCAACAAACAAGAGATTATTGTAAGTAGTTGGTGGATCACTCAGTCCAAAAACAGGTGGCATAGGGTTTGTGTCTTCCGGTCCATGGTAGGAGGAGAGTTCCATCCGACTTCACCCCATGACCAGGAAGCAGGGAGAAAAGTAACTTCTGTTCCAGCAACCCAGGCAGAGCATGTGTGCAGACCCAATACACAACCAAAACCAGGCCACCCAGGAACTTGACATCCAGGCAATGGTAGGAAGGAGGGAATGTAATGTGGTGGGTCAACTCTGGTCCAAAACCAGGTGGCATTGGTAATTTGTCATCCGGTCTGCTGTAGGAGGTGGATCCTAACCAATCATGTGTGTGAGGACTTGTGTGGTCTGATCCTATGCTGATCCAACACCAAACCACCCGGGAACCGACATGAAATCGGTGGTAGGATGGTAGACTTATGTTGGTTAGTCCTACCCCAATCCCTCCCACTGGTTGTGCCACCCTCGCACTGGTGTAGGACTTTTGCTACATAATAACGTCATTATGCAATAGTGCAAATCATAAGAAATCTCGTGAGTTTAGGTGGGAGTTGCCTAAAGGCTAGTGACATGCATATCTCTAAGGCAGACAAATGGGGGAAGATAGCTTTCTGTGCACAGAGATGTGTATCGCCTCAGAATTTGATCTTATACATTATATTTCTATCCTGTAATGTGTGGTTAAGAAGAATGAACACTGGATCTGAATTAGCAAACATTCATATGAGAACAGTTTAATAAGCACTTAAAAATAAACCATCTCTCCATACTGTGAAATTTTTTCAGCTCTAAGATACAATATAAAACTTAAGTTACTTAACAAAAATAAAGTGTACTAATCTAAGTCTTCTTTGTGCAACCCTGAGATGTCAGTGTACTTTTACCAATGCACTGAAAACATTAACAAACATATTATGAAATATAATGGCTTAGCTTTTCAAACATTGGCATTTACAAAATTGTTCATACAGAAGAATGGTAAGTACAACTTAAGATTATTTCTGTTTTGAGGAGATAACCTTCTTCGCAACATGATGAAGGTTTAAATAGTGTTTTGTAAAACACTGGTAGAATGATTGTAACCTGAAGAGGTGTAACTCCTGAAATACATGTATTCAAAAATGTAATGTTATAAGGTGATTAAGAACTTCCATGTGAAGAAGGGCTGCTTGTAGCATAAATCTTTAAACTTTTTTCTGCCACTCTGGGATTGACAAGGCATACTTATGAATATATTAACATATTGAAAATGTCTACAGCATATATGGTTTGGTTCTTCAAAAATCTATGTTTAAAAAAGAGTATGTTGTTAATAGCATGAAATTCATACTCACTGACTACTGCATTAATATCAATCATCTTTACTGATATTAGGCATAAACTTAAAAGATTGAAACACAAAACTTTAAGTTACAATAAAGCAACTACAAATGAGCATTCCATACTTATGAAATAATAAAATTGTTTTTTTTGGGGAGAAAAAATTTATCTATCATTCCACTTTTATCCCAGCGTAATATAATATGAATCAATTTCTGTAAACTTTTATTTAATGGAATATTTCACATTATAAAACCAATTTCTAGATTTAGATTTGTGTTGTATTTTTATGATTTCTTCTAAAAAAAAAAAATCCAAAATACACAGTAACTTGAGTAGGGTCTTGTACTAATAGCTATATCTGGCCTAATTGAAGAATTATTTCAAAGGAAAACTACTGTTACATAAGCATGAATTTGTTATGTCATGTTTGGTAATACTAAACTTGAGTAATATTTGCAGCACAATGAACAAAATTGAGAAAGTGGGATGTATATAACATTCACTGTTTAAAATTTTATTACACTATTCTGCAATTTTTAGAAAATACCAATACAATGTTATAATCAAACTCAAGTCATTAATAATGTAAGTGCAAACATTGAAATATTTTAAAAACATAATACTATGATAATAAAAGAGTAAACTCTTAGAGATGGATGGATGAAATATCAACAATGGAAAAAAACAGCACTACAACTAAACATTAGGATGGGAGAACGACTTTTGAGAAATGATACAGTAAGGCTAATATCTGATGATTATAGGATGGTTGGGTTATTAAATTCTACTTTTCTTCAGTTTTTACTAATGAAGATTTAAGCAAAATTCCTCAACCTTAATAATTACTAGATGACAAAAAGGTTGTACAAGATGACCACATTAATTCTGAACTTGTTAAGAAAAAATTGTGAGGTTTAGATTTACCCAAGGGTTTTGAAATAGATTAAGGAACAGGTATGTGAGTCACTTGCTACTATTTTTGCAAGACTTTGAATAACTGGCAGGTACCAGAAGATTGGAAGTTGGCTAATGTTACTCCTCTTTTTAAGAGAGGTGAAAAATATTGTCCCAGTAATTATAGTTCTATTAGTCTTACATCAGTAATAGGAAAAGTCTGTGAAAGTCTTAAAAAAAAGACACATTTAACAAAGTTTAAATTTTTTGTTGAATAGTCAGCATGGTTTCACTAGATGAAAATCTTGCCTTACTAATCTTCTGACATCCTTTGAAGAGGTTACTGCTTGTAAGTTATATAGATGAGGGAATGGGTGTGGATTTGCTGCATCTGGATTTACATAAAGCATTTTCGCATTTAATGGTGAAAATGGTAAGACTAGGAAACACAAGTATAAATTTTGGTAGAGTAGGTGTCATCTTCAACTAAGAGAGCTTTAATTTCCTAAAACAGTAAAAGGCTGGATGGCCTTTGGACAGGTTGCCTTCAGATGTGGTGGATGCAGTTAATTTATGAGAAAGCTTGATAAATATTTGAATGATAAAGGCTGGCTTTGAGTTTCTACTTCTAGTTCTAGTGTTTGGTCTACTTTCGTGGATAGGACGGCCTAAGTGGACCAAAAGGTCTCTTGTTGTCCTTTAATCACGTTATTGAATCAACTTATTATAAATTATTCTTAACTACAAACAAAGTTAAAAATATATTCAATTTTAAACCCTATGAATGTTCGGGCTGAGATTCTCTTCTCAGTTCTGACTTCGAGTTCTTTAGATAACTGCAAACCCAAAATTTTATATGTAATTTAATTAGGCAGAATATTTACCAATTGTATTTCACTTAGACTGATACTGTTAGAGAAGGTCCTAATCGCACCATGACGATTATACTTTAAATTATATTTATAGTAAACTTTCTATAACTGCAGTAGTATGAAAGGCGAGAAAAAGAAACATGATTTTTGCAGACGAGGCTGAAGTTGGCTTCTTATTCACGTAGCCTCTTAGGTGTGCGGCATCTTATTCACACACCTGTTTAGACTCATCACTAACCTACGAATTTAAAGGGTTGAATTACTTTAGGGTTCTTTTTTCTCTGCATATTATTCAATGGAGATATATCCTTTACAAAAACTATAAACCTTTAGCCGAGTTCAAAGTGGGTCTCATTGGTCAAAAAAAGAGTAAGGGATGGCGCACTTAGGCCACTTTTTTCTCTGTGTTACGTCTCCGTTTGTTAATTAACTTTCCGTAACTTCGTTCCGACGAAACTTTAGCGACACAAGTCCTTACTTAATAAAACTGGTTTATTCTTTCCGAATACAACTTTACGATACACTTCATTTCAATATTCGCGCTAAAACAAACACTATAACGAACTAACGTTAACTTCAACAATACCCTGTGACTGCAGTTAAATTACTCACTATCTACACACACACATTATTGTCCCGTCACGTTGTCACCCTCTTTTATATACCAGACTACCCTATATCTAGGAAATACTAGAGCATTCGCCAAGGTACAGGATAGTTCTAGAAAATAGGTGGCGCCACACCAGTCACGTGACCTCGATGACGCAACACTGCCCCCTCCTTAGTATTGTTTGTCCCGAACAATTGCCACTTACAATAAACCAATAACAATTAACAATAACTTAATTAAATGTACAGAATTACAATCACAAAATTGCAATTCGACAAAGTCTCTCAATTTTACGGGACGTATCTTCTTCCGTAACTGGTCTCCGTCTTGTTGGCTTCTGCTTCATGTGATGTTCATCT